TTTTTTTAAATTTTATTTTAATCATTGTTCAAGTACAGTTTTCTGTCCTTTACTCCCATTCCAGCCCACCCACCCAACCCTCCCCACTTCCCTCCCATTTCCACCCCCCTAGTTTTTGTCCATGTGTCCTTTATATTTGTTCCTGTAAACCCTTCCCATTCTCCCCTGAAATTCCCTCTCCTCTGGTCACTGTCAGCCTGTCCTCTATTTCAGTGTATTTGGTTATATTTTGCTTGTTTCTTTGTTTTATTGTTTAGGTTCCTGTTAAAGGTGAGATCATATGGTACTTGTCTTTCACTGCCTGGCTGATTTCTCTTAGCATAATGCTTTCCAGCTCCATCCATGCTGTTGCAAAGGGTAGGAGCTCCTTCTTTCTTTCTGCTGCATAGAATTCCATTGTGTAAATGTACCATAGTTCTTTGATCCATTTATTTACTGATGGGCACCTAGGTTGCTTCCAAAACTTAGCTATTGTAAATTGTGCTGCTATGAACATTGGGGTGCATAGGTTCTTTTGGATCGTATTTTCTTTATTGGCTTATCATTAAACGTAGTTCTTGTTTTCCATTTACTTTGGCAAATTTTGGAGGGTATTTTTCATGTATTGATACAAAGTCATCAGCAGGATTATTGTCACAGTGAGGGTGAGAAGGGGGCTTAATAGCAAATGCCTGGAGGTGAAAGGCTGCATCAGGAGAGTTCAAGAAATTAGAGATGAAGTGTAAGAGCTCCACGCTTTGGCATTGTGATGACTCAGCAAACACAGAAGACTTCCCAGACTCTATCTGGACCATCCCCTTCACTCCTTTGCTTTGAAAATGAGTGCAGTGGCCCTGCCTTACCCACAGGGACCCCAGGTGGATGTCTGAAACTGCAAATAGTACTGAACTCTGAATATACTATGTTTTGTCCTATATGTATATACCTATGATAAAGTTTAATTTATAAATTAGGCACAGTAAGAGATTCACAATGACTAATAATAAAGTAGAACAATTATAGCACTGTATGGTAATAAAAGTTATGTGAATGTGGTCTCTCTCAAAACACCTTATTGTGCTGTGCTCACCTTTTCACTTAAAGGAAGCACTGTGTGGCTTCTCTTTGACATATCCAACTTGCCAGCATCACTGCTCTTGCCATTTGGAGGCCATGATTAAGTAAAATACAGATTACCTGGACACACAGTGATCCTGTAACAGTCAATTTGAAGATGGCTTCTCAGTGCCTAATTGTAGGACGTGTATATCGTGTGAATACGCTGAATGAGGAATGATTCAGGGCCTGGGTAGGGTGGATTGGAATGCCGTGAGTTTTTATCATACTACCCAGAACAGCACACAATTTAAAATGTATTAATTGATTATTTCTGCAGTTTTCCATTTAATATTTTCAGACCAAGGTTGACCACAGGTAACTGAAGCCATTTAAAGTGAAACCATGGATGAGGGGAGATTACTGTGTACCTTTGAAGAAAATAGGTAAGGAAAGTATGAAATGTGCCATCTCAGTCCTTGGCAAGCTTTGGTTTTGTTTAAATTCTTAGCCTTAAGAATTTGTCTCACTTCTATTGCTATTTATTTCAAAAACTAAAGTGGCCCATTGAGTCTTGTAGCCCAGCTACACAGTAGACATTGCTCTCTTTTTCTGAGTGGAACCGCCGCAAGTGTTGAAACGAGTGCCTGAGAGGTAAAAACCCAGAGCTTTTTTGGACTCCTCAAGATGCCAAATCTTCTGACTTCTCTGACACCAATTGCATTTTTTATTCACTTTGATTGTGGGTGTCCACAAGCAGACTCTATAAAAAAATGCACAGAGCCCTGACTGGTGTGGTTCAGTGGACTGAGTGCCGGCCTGCGAACTGAAGAGTCACAGGTTCAATTCCCAGTTAGGGCACATGCCTGAGTTGTGGGCCATATCCCCAGTAGGGGACATGGGAGGACATATGAGAGGCAACCACAAATTGACGTTTCTCTCCCTCCCTTCCCCTCTCTCTAAAAAAAATAAATAAATGAAATCTTTAAAAAATACACAGAGAAGCCTTTGGGGACAGATGGAACTGTACAGACAATGAACAAAGATGTCCTTTAGATTCTTTAGTTACTGAAATTGAATAACTTTCATTTTCTTGAAAGCAGATAAAAGCAGAATGGATTCCTATAGTTTATACAACATTGAAATAAATTCTTGAATATCATATTCCCACTTTTTTTTCACTTCAGGCATATTTCATTTCTTAGCTATCATAAAATCTATAGACATGAGCAGTGATATTTTTAAATGAAAGGATAAGTTGTTCTTTCTGTTCTCAAAGTCACACTTTATCAGAAGTGGACACTGTTCAGAAATGACTTGAAGTCACCTAGTCAAGTCAGTTTTCTCCTGGGGCGTCAGCCTGCCCAAAGCAGAAGGCGGTAAGAAGAGATTTTCAGCACGCCCATGGCTGGCAGCAGAAAGGGCTCTGAAGGTAGGTCAGAACAGAGGTGGGGGGCACAGGCTTTCCGGAGTGGATGTGACTCTCCCAAGACACAGTCAGAGAATAGGTCTTGCAAGGCGCAGGTGATGAAAGTGGAACCCAGTCAAGTGGCCAGACCTGGCGATTGGCTTCCAGAACCAAGGAAGCAAAAGCAGAGAGACAGGAGTGAATGTCATGTCTGGACGCTCAGCCTGGGATAAGCAAAGCCTGAGTGGTTCATTCAGATTTCAACCCAGATGGAGTTAAACAAGATTGTTCACTTATGTGTGTTCTTTATAAATCTGCACTCCCTCTGTAGCCAACATTCTCTACCCCCACATTCTAGGGGAGTCATTGTAACTGTCAATAAGAATGAGTGAAGAGACAGCTGGATGGGAGCCCTTAGAGATCTCCCCCAACTGGTGAACTACTGACACAAGTATGCATGGTGGCAAGAAGAAACTCTTCCCTGATTCTTGGAAAAAAGCTACTCTCACAGTGTGGCTTAGAGCTTCATTTGTAAGCATATTTCTTTGCTGATGGAAATAATGTTTTCTTAAAATCACAAGAGATTGCTGTAAGAAAATAAAATGCCAAGGAAAGTTGAAAATTAAGTGCACTGTTCCACCCATTGAGTCACAGTTACAGGCACAGCCTTTGGAGTTGCCACACCTCTGGATTTCTGTTCAGTAGACAGTGTGAGTGAGCAGGAAAAACTCACAGATGGGAATCAGCCCCAGAAGACAAGAGAGCTAAGCTGACTCCTGAGCTGCAAAGTGAGCATCTTTGGCAGCCAAGTGATGACCAGTGACATTTCATTTTCTTCCACACCCAGCAGAGCAATAATAACAACCATGCTGTCTGTCAAGAGAGAGCAAGAGGGAAACTGTTCTAGAACAAGAGATACTTTCTAGATGGGGTACAATCAAAGTGGGGGTGGGGGAAGTGTTGTCACACTGTAATTTATGGCTCCTTCAGAATCTGGCTTTAATTTACTACTCCTCACTCCGTGTATTCATCCAACAACTATTTACTGAGAGTTTACTGAGCTAGGTATGGAAGAGGTCGTGATCAGAGCAGGTAGGGTCCACTCTCTCATATGCCCTTCAGTAGGGAGCAGACCACCAATTGCACAGTATAGGTGTGACATTGTAACCACATGCTTCGAAGGAGAGGGATCTGATGCTAGGAAAGCATGAAAGAGGGGACTTGACAGTTAGGAAGCTCAAATCAGGCTTCAGCCCAGAACTGGAATTTGAAGGGAAAGCAGGTGAGAGACAGTGAGAGACAAGGTTCCAAGCAGAGAGACAGCAAGAGAAAAAGACCCCTCAATACCCATCAATGTTAAAGCTCTTAAATGTTTCATTTTTAGTCTCCTGAGCACATGATATAGCAAAAACCAATGGTACTTAAAGTCAGTTGGTCTCACTCTTGGACTGTGATGACACTTGTCTGACCTTGAACAACTTAGATCTTTCTGAGCCTTAGTTGTGTCACCCATGAAATAGGTGTGCTAAACCCAACAAAAAATAAGTGTCAATTTCTGCCCCCTTGGCTAATTTTCAAAATCTTTCCTAGACTCAATGTTTTCACTGAAAAAACAGAAGTAAAAAATTATACCAGCATCTGGGGACTGACGTTTAAATGGGCTCATTTGTAGACCCTAAAGCATCATGTGATTATCAGGTATTATTAATCACTCAAACAATATTTGTGCAGCCTACCCCATATGAGATTCTGTGACAGGTGCTGGGAAAATGGAAGGTTGATGGAGGCAGAGTTTCACCCTCAGGAGAGAGTTGCTGAAAGAGAAATTCATTCTTTTCCCAGCTCCAGAAAAAAAAAAAAAGGCAGCAAGGGCACAGGGAAAGGCCTCTGTGGCCTGGCCAGGCATCCACACTCCTGGCACTTGGCCCTCCCTGGGGGATATCTGACACCTTCCCCCCAGCCATTAGCCAAGAGCTTGCCCAGACTATCGGACCCAAGGGCCCTAGGGACAGGGCTGCAGGATGGATTTTTAAATCTTCAAAATAACCAGACCAGTGAATCTTACAACAAACAATGACTTACAAAAAAATATGACTTGAGTGAAGAAGTTGCACTGACTGATGGAAAACTCTGTCAAAGATAAGGAGAGGAAAATCACCATAGACTTCTGTGTTTCTCCTGAAAGTAGATGGAACAATCCTGATTCTCTGTTTCCAGCCCAGCTCCCAGGCCTCTCTCTTTCAAACTCCTTCTGTCTTACTTTCCTCTTCCTTTTGAGAAATGTCAAATGAGTATGAGGTAGAAGATTCATTGCCCAACCATGATTCAGGAGAAAGCTCAGCCACAGAATAGGCAAGTGTGGCACTGCCTAGAGGAAAAGGACTTGTAGAGGCAGGTCTCAGATAGATCCACCCCTGATTTTACAGAGAAGACACCTCCTTCATCACAAGTTCTAGGATCTTCCAAGTTTAGGAATTAACTATCTGCTTCGCCTTGACAACCTGGCACAATGTACCTAGCAGGACCAATGTGAATAAACCAGAGGCGTCTCTACAACATGACCTACAGGGACAATGCAGGTACTGTTTGCAGCCTGAAGATTGTGACCCTCCTGGTGGCCCTAAGTCCAAAACTCCTATTCGTGGGAGCCGAAGTGCAGCTTCAAGACAATGGGTATGATGGATTACTCGTTGCAATCAATCCTCAGGTATCTGAAGATCACAACCTCATCCCAAACATTAAGGTGAGTGACAAATATGAAGTCAAAATTATTATCCTATTAGATCAAGCCTGTCTGATTTGTGATTTGAGCGGTAAAGAAAGCAGTGTTTCCTAAAGATCGCACGAAAAATTATAATTATGGCCAAGCCAGTGTGTTCACCTAATGCTCTGTAGTCTCAGTTCTCAGACTGTTGGTCTAGTCCTCTTTTGGTTTTTGCTGTTGATTACTACTAATGTCAGTGTTTTTGTCTTCCTAACTGTTTTGGGGGGTAGTAACTTAAAAAATAATGCATTGTGGCAACAAAGACCAAACATTTGGCTGATGAATAAGCATGATGGTGCTTATGAAAATCATGTTGTTGGATTCCATCCTGAGGGTGAGAAATCTCAGACAGAAAGAATGAGAGCCTTTCTTTTTACCTGAATGTTCTCTGATTGACTATTTTCACCTGATAATAAGGAGGGTTCACCGCTCTACTACTTAAGAGCTTCCTTTTGGTAATGCTTTTGTGAAATTAGTGTCATTATAAGGTGTGGTCCTGTAGATGCCCACAGGTGCAGCATGAAAAGGATTTGTTTGGTAAAAGCTTAAAAGCCTTTCACAAAATTGGGAAAATTATATAGGCAAGACCAGACACATCATTAGTGTCCTAAACTCTCTTCCAAATAACAATCTAAGTTCATTTATTTCATTCCTAAGTTTTCTCAAATTCTAATGCTGTATCTAAAAGAAATGGGTTCCTTCAATATACTTGCATTATTTTCTATTACTACTTTATTTAAGTGTAACCAGAAAACTCAAACATAAAGGATTTGCAATGATAAAATAAGCTTTTATTTGGTTATAGGAAATGATAACTGAAGCTTCTTTTTACCTATTCAATGCTACAAAGAGAAGGGTGTTTTTCAGAAGTATAAAGATTTTAATACCTGCCACATGGAAAGCTAATAATTACAGCCAAGTAAAACAAGAATCATATGAAAAGGTAAGAATTTGGAGTTTTATCAAATCAGCTTAAATCAAGGCGGGTAAAAAAAAAACAACCAAAATATACCATGTTCAAACCTTAGAAGTGAGAACTTAAGGAAAAACAAGTCACATATTAACATGCAAATAATATTATTGGGAAGATTGTTATTCACAAAACATATAGAGATATAATAAAGAAGCACAAACTATGTACCAAAAAAGTAAGCAAAATACCATTGCCCAGGTTGCCTCTAGAAGATTTTTTCTTTGCAAATTACAGGATCTTTCCTGAAATTTCTGGTTAAAAACCAAAAACTAGTTATATCTACTGAGTATGAGCTAAAGGGAACAATTCCAATTATGACTATTTTTATTTCTCATCCTGTCAGGGCAGTAAACACACATGTCCAGACAGAAACATAAGCCACCCACACATATAAAAATATGACTGTCTTTTCCTGCCAGAGTGTAAATCAGCAACATTTCACATTACCCCAAGTGTAGGACAACTTTCGAGGAGTATGGTGAGAAGAAGGAAGGCAGAAAGTGTTTCAGCAAGGCAGTAGGTCAGGGTGGCAACCACTCACCCTGCCTGTCCTAGCAATGCAATGGCCGAGTGCAGCCTCTGGTCTCCCTCACCTGTGGGAGCCCGGCAGGTGGAGAGCACAAAACTAGAATCTGCCAGTGCCTCCATCTCCAGAGACAATTTCAGCTGTTCTCTGCTCCTCCAGCAGATGTTTTAAGATTAGTAAAGGAATCTCCTTCACGCATAATCCAGGCGCTTTCCTAAGTTTTGCTTTTGCACTGTTTCCCCAGGCAAGTGAGAACTCACAGGAGCCCTTTAAAAAAGCATATTAGCTCCCTATTGCCCTTTGGGCCCCTTAGACATCAGCCCCATTGGTTTTCTAAGCCAGACACGTTGGGGGCTTGTCTCTCCAGTGCAGATCCCAGGGGTTGGGGTGTTCGATATGAAGCTCTTCTCCTGCAGGAGAAGTGCCAGCCTGGGGAGATCCCTCCCTATTGTGTGTCACTGTGTTGGAGGTATCGTTTGAGGGGCAAGAGCTTGTCTCTGCTTCTCCTACCTGTCTCAATGTGTCCTTTGATCTTTTTCTTCATGGAGGAGCAGTTTGTCTAGTTAACAGATCTTCTCAGAGGGAAATGGTCCAAATGTAGCTATAGATTCTGTGCGTCTATGTCCATGGGAGGAGGTGAGTTCAGCATCTTCCTGTGCCACCACCTTGGACCCCCTTCTCTGAAGGTGGCACAACTCAGTGTGATTTGAGAAAATTTTAATCTGGGAATTAGATCAACTAGAAGTAATGAAGCTCTATGGAAATTTGCTATGCTTTTAAAATATAGGTGTTTTTTATTTAAAATGTCAAATATTTTTGAAATTTAGTTGTGAGTGCATTTTAAACTCCATCTACAAGGCATTTCTTTTGTAGAAATCTCTTCTTAAATGTGAATATAATTTATACAGTAAAATGTACAGATCTTAAGTGTATAGCTCAAAGTAATTTAACATGTATATGTTTATGTCATCAACATCACAGTTGAGATATGGAGTATTACAAGGTATTTATTTTAATTTAGGCAAATGTCTTAGTGACTGACTGGTATGGGACACATGGAGGTGATCCGCATACCCTACAATACAGAGGGTGTGGAAAAGAGGGAAAATACATTTATTTCTCACCTGACTTTCTACTAAATGATGACTTAACTGCTGGCTATGGATCACGAGGTAAGTGTGACCAATCAAAAAATTGACATTTGCCAGTACTATTTACAATATTCTGTGCTTAGTGCAGAAGAGGATTCACAGAACCTGAAATTTGCCAAAGACTTACTACGTGGTTGGAAAGATAGGCCACATGCCCAGGAAAAGATGAGGAGCAAAGTGAGCCAGAAAGAGTTAAGCACCAGATTAATAGCCCAAACAGTGAGTTCTATAAGAATTTAGTGAAAGGAGAAAACATTTTAAGCTAAAGATGGTCAGAAAATGCCTCATTAAGCAGAGGAGCTTCAAAGTTGAATAGCATTTTGATAAAAAGGGAAAAAGAAAAAAAACAGTGGAAATAATATAAATAAATGTATGCCAATAGAAGAATCCAGAACGAATTTGAGAGATGGTGAGTGGTAGACCCTATTAATAAGGCAGAGTGACAGTGGGTAGTGAAGTAGCGGGAAAAAATGCCAAAATACACATGGGGGTAAGTGATGGAGAGCTTCAAATGCCCAAATGAGCATGTCACCATTGAAGGTGTATAAGCACGGGAATGCCACCATTAAACCAGGGTTTTAAGATGATGAACCAGGCTATGTGGATAACCGGGCTTCCTCAGATCAATGAAAGAGAAACTGGAACTTTCTATGTTCCAGGTGCCATGCTGTTTACTTTTCAAATGTTATCTTGTTTGCTCCTAACAACTCTAAGTGATGAGAGATATTCCAGAAGAGCAAACGGAAATAGAGGTCTGAACTGCTGTGGAATGCAGGACAAGGGGGATGTGTGTGGGCAGCATTAAGGAAGACCAAGTTTTTCACAGAAATAGAACCACCTTAAAGGGGAAATCCACAACAAGTACGGCTGAGGCAAACTGATTGTGAGGAGCAGTGAACTATGCCGGTGGAAAAGCTCAGCCTGTGATTGAAAGTGGGTGGCTGGAGTTTGGGCGAGTAGTCAGGGTCTTAGATTTGAAAACTGGCATTTAGTGGATAAGATTTGAGTGAGAAACTGTAGTAACAAAAAATCAGCAGGTCAAGGACTAACCATCTCATTGTTAATGTTTTTGATTTTTATTTTAACATACAATAGTGTCTTTCAAATGACGTTTTCATGAACATACTCATGAAATGTAGATTCTGTTTTCCTCTGTATAGCTAGCAGAGATTGGAGCAACACACTCTATAAAGTACATTTTATAAGACACTTAAAACTTTTTAAGAGTTCTTCCTCATAACTGTAAGGTGCTGATAATCTCCACATAAACATAGAACTTCATCAGGCCCTGCCCAGGTAGCTCAGTTGCTTAGAGTATTGTCCCAATACACCAAGGTGGTGGGTTTGATTCGCAATCTGGGCACATACAAGAGACAACCAATGAATGCATGGATGGTGGAACAACAAGTCGATGTTTCTCTCTTTCTTTCTTGTTCCCTTCCTCTCTCCTCTCTCCCTCTAAAATCAATCAATAAATTAAAAAAAAAAAACATATAGCTTCATCAGCACTTCTAAATTCCAAGAGTAGGCACAAACTTTTCCTGAACACTTTCAGCTTAGGCTATTCCCCTCCCTTCCTTTGTCCCAAGATCCAAACATTGCACAATACACCACAGCCTGAGTCAACTTAGCAAACACTTCCTGGGTTTCCATAACTTTAATGAAGTCATGAAAAAAAGTGCACTTTGGGAGCGGAGTTAATCTAGAAAGCAGCAAGGAGGAAGAAGTCAGTTTTGATCTGAACACTGAAGGAAATGCAATATTTAGAAAAGTAAAGAAAAATTATAAAGGATTTGATGCCCAGGGGTGAGGGTTTCCATGAGCTAAGAGTTAGAAATAAATACAAATGTGAAGAATCAGGATAAAATCAAAAAGAAAGGACCATCCAAGCTATGATTTTTTTGTTCCTTTCTGCCTCTCTGGCCCCACTGTTTCAATCATTGTTCTGGATAGTAGAGTTACCTACCCTCCACCCCCGCAAAAAAAAAAAAGGCATACTTGGATAAGTTAGACTGAAGAATAGGAAATTTTTATTTGCTTATCTGGTATCTTAGTTTGTCTGGGCTGCTGTCACAGAATACCATAGACTAGGTGGCTTGTAAACAGCAGAAATTTATTTCCCGGTTCTAGAGACTGGGAGTCCAAGATCAAGGGACTGGCAGATTTGGTGTCTGGTGAGGCCCACTTCCTGGTATATAAACAGCCATCTTCTCGTTGTGTCCTCACCTGGCAAAGAGGAAAAGAGCTCTCTGGAGTCTCTTTTATAGTCACTAATCACATGATGAGGGCTCCACTGTCATGACCTAATCAGCCCAAAGGCCCCACCTCCTAATACCTTCACATGGGGGGTGAGGATTTCAACATGTGAATTTTACAGATATATTGTAACAGTCAGTTCATTGCATTTAAATCATTGCATTTAAAGAAGGAGAGTGTTCCTCTCCTTCTTCCTCAAATCTTGACATTATAGGCCTATATGAAGCTAAATAGAAGCCTGTTAGGCAGCTTCACTGAGAAAATGAGAGGATGTGGGACTCCTCACTAGTTTCAAATAGATGCGCAAAAAGTAAATCACTGGTTTGCATTTATGGGACTAAACATACTTTTGCTCTGCCTCTTTTATGACGATGGGAGTAATATAGAAGGTGATAAAAATGGGGTAAGGAAGAGGAAAGGGGAGGAGGGAATTGTACTTCAACCCTTCAGAATGAGCATATATATAGTCAAGTAATGTTACATCTTCATTGATTAGCAAGGTCCACTGCTGAGAATTTGGAAACTCAAAACAAAAGCTCTCTGTTCCACAGGCAGAGTGTTTGTCCATGAATGGGCCCATCTCCGCTGGGGTGTGTTTGATGAATATAACAATGAGAAACCTTTCTACATCAATGGGCAAAATCAAATTAAAGTAACAAGGTTAGTCAATTTCTCATGCTAAAACTTCAGTTTATTTTTTTTACTCTAACATTAAGTTTATAATGGCAGCAAAACTTCATTGACTATTTTCAGTTTTGTAACATTATTGCATTTTTAAATGCTTATGTTGTTCAAATATCAAAAAGTTATTCTTATGTATCTCACTCCCACCACTCTCTTTACCTTGTACCCTCTCCTTCCCTCCAGATAACCATGTTTATTACTTTCTTGTTTATTTTTGCAGAAATTTCTGTAGGAAATTTTTAAAAATATGTGTTTTTCCTCACTCTTTTTAAAATAATTGCATATGATGTTTCATTGTGTGACTGTAACAAGATTTTTCAATCACTCCCCTATTGTACAGTGGGTCATTCTCAATCTTTTACTACCAATAAGACTACAGGTGATAATGCTATATGTATACCATTTCTCATGTATGCAGGCAGACCTGTATTAAATAACTTCTAAGAATTACTGAGTCAAAGGATATGCTCAGCTGTAATTTTGGTAGATGTTAACTGATTCCTCTCCTAAAGGTTGTGTTGTTTTTCATTCCCCTCAGCAATTTGAGGTTAACTATTTAGAAAGGAATCCTTTGAAATAACATGGTTATATGTGCATTCCCTTCTTCCTCTGATGTCCAATGGCAATGAGCTCAAAGGAGCCCGTACTCAGGACACTGCCACTCATGCTCCTCCTCGTATCTCCAAAGGTTCATGTTGACCTCCCGGTAACTTGTGCTTTGACCTTGTTTAGTTGGTAAAGCCCTTGGAAATACAGAACCTCTCATCAAGAAAAAAACTTCTTTAAAATAAAGTGAAGTCCATTTCTAAATTGATGAACTTCATAGTTTTTAAAATGTTTTATGTGTTTCTAGCAAGCTACAATCTTTGCAACTAATTATTATATGAGCTAGTAAAGGAAAAAACATAAGTATTTCTAAAATACATATAATTTTTCTTTCTATTTTCAGGTGTTCATCTGACATCACAGGCATGTTTGTGTGTGAAAAAGGCCCCTGCCCCCAAGAAAACTGTATTATTAGTAAGCTTTTCCAAGAAGGATGCATGTTTATATACAATAGAACTCAAAATGCAATGGCATCAATAATGTTCATGCAAAGTTTATCCTCTGTAAGTATGGCCTTGTAATGATAAACTCCTACCATCTCTTCCTAAGACAGACTGATATGTTTTAAGTATTTAAACAAAAACAAAATAGTCACTATGTTTTAGAGCTTGGGGGACCTTACAGTTCATCTAGTTTTTACTTTACATATTAAAAAATAACTAGGGCCCCAAAGATGATTACCAAAAGTAGATTCCTCTGGAAAAGTGATTATTTGCTTTCCAGAGAAGGTGATTTAATGAGAGCCTTATAAATCTCAAAATGAATTGCTCATATGGTAGTGTTCCTACATCTTTTCATAGGAAAGTGTACTAGGTTAATGAATGATACAACACAATTGATTCTCTCATTCAAGGTAGCAATCCATTCTTATTTTAATTGCACTTTCTAATTCTCTTTCCCTTGTTTTGCATAGTCTAGAACTCAAAAAGAAAAAAGTCAGCTGTTACCAAGGAAAACCTACTAATCCTCACATTTGCAGGTTCAGAAACTCAACCTTGTCATCATTTCACACTAATTGGCAAGAGACTGGAGTATAAATCCAGAGCACCATTTAAAAAAATTATTAATTAAAGAGTACTCTTCCATGGAGATCTAATACTTGCCTCCTTAGGTCAGTTCATTTTGTCTCTGAAAGAAGCCGCTTGGAAGAGTGAAGTTCTCACAAGAAGCCTGCTCTGCAAGCATGCAATCAGAAAGGAGGGAGTTAGGTGATACGGAGGCTTAGTGGCACTAATCTTCATGACCAGATGGATCTATTCATCTTCACAAAAACCTGAAGGTCAAGTCTTTGAGTCATCTCTGCTCTGTGGAGCTTAAAGCGCTGTGGAGGCATGCCTCTGTGAAGTTGTCTGCTCCACAGCTGACAAATGCCCCTTGGATTGACACATTCCTTTTTTAAATAACTTTTTTTCTTCAGTCTGGTTTCAGTCAAGACTAGGAGTCATTCCATAAACTTGAAGTGATGTTTCTTATTTCTTGTTTGATCCACTGTGTTTTTAATTTATAGCTTTAATATCTGGAGCCAGCCCAATGTGTATTTCATCACATTGATTATGATTAGGCACCATCTTTGTGATCCTTTGAAAGACCTACTTATTAGTTCCCAATCAGATAAGCTTTATAATGTTGTAACCATAGTCATAAAACATAAAGGAATTAAAAACAAGTAACAAAGAAACCTAGTTCTACCCCTGTCTCCACACCCTACCATGAGACTTGCATCCTTAAGCAATTATGAACTCTTTGAAGCTTCAGTTTTCCCTTCTGTGAAATTACAGATGGGACTAAGAGATTCTTCTAGTTCTAAGCACATGACTCTGTTAACAGGAACACCCATTCCTTGTATGCATATAGCCATTGGGAATATATGCTAACACGTTGCTTTAAAATACAAACCATAACATTAAAAGGGGCGTTGATACAGGTTTAATATTATTAAATGGATTTTGTCTATATTTCATAATAAGGATAAAGATCAGGAAGTAGATTTAAGTTGGTTTTCTCCTTATCCTGTTCTTAAAGAGATTAATATTTGAACTAGATCAATATACATTGACTGATTAATAAAGGTGCAGTAGTCATTAAATATAATTTCAAGAAATAAGCTGACCAAGATAACATCTCCTAGGGTGTTTTCTTTAACACAATATCATGCTAAGGAAAGCGGGAGATTGTTCTGTTTTGTTAAGATTAAGATGTACATATATAGTTTGCTCTCTGTTATCCAAGTGCAAATATACTTTGATAGAGCTTGATCTCTGTACCACAAGGGTGCCAGTGTTTCAAGCAAAGGGTGCCAAAGGTGAGGTGTAAATCTGACGTCACTCTTGAAGGAAAGAAGGACATGCTGTTGTGCTCCTTATTTCTGATATTTCAGCTCACCTTTCCTTTTACCATCAGTTGCTTGAGCAAGAAGAGTATGTCTGGCATGACAGAGCCTTTATTTTCTGATAGGCCTTGTTCTTTTCCCAGGTGGTTGAATCGAGAAGCTCCAAACCTGCAGAACCAAATGTGCAGCCTCAGAAGTACGTGGGATGTAATCTCAGACTCCACTGACTTTAATCGCAGCTTTCCCATGAACGGGACTGAGCTTCCGCCTCCCCCCATGTTCTCCCTTGTGCAGGCTGGGGATAAAGTGGTCTGTTTAGTGCTGGATGTGTCTAGCAAGATGGCAGAGGTAACATTTTAAACAACAATGGTTGTAAAATACTCATCATTCTTTCAACCGGTTTTTCGTTCTTTTTATTTTCAGAGGCTAAGGGCAGAGGAGGGAAAGGCCAAAGGTTTGGAATAGTCATGAATATCATCTTGTCTTGGGGGCAAAAGGAACAAATTCAGAATGTGGTCCAGAAATTGAGATAATGCAGATAAATGAAATATACAGATAATTCCTAATCCTCATTTGTAGTATTAATTGCAACATTTTCCAACCAAGACTCTATTCCAAAACTCTTACACGTAACAAAACCTCCTCTCTGGCCACATTCCACTCACTACTAAAGATGCTTTGTGGAGGCAAGAGACTGAATTTGCAGCAAATGTGCATATCAATTATGTGTATATTGTCTGTGTCACTGTGGACAGAAAACCATATCTCAGTTATCTGGCAATCTAGAAAACTTCCAGAAACGCACTCTCCAAAGCTCCAAAATTCTCAGACAGTGGTTGAAGTCTTAATCTCTGAAACCAAGCAGATACGCTTTCAGTCCTGGCTCCTTTACTTACTGTCTGTATAACCAAGAGCAAAATAACTTTTCTGAAGCCCAGTTTTCTCATCTATAAAACAGGGATACATATTAATACCCACTTTCAGTATTGTGACAAAACCAGCTCATATGCACTCACAAGAGTCAATCACTAAATTTTCAGGAAATCTGCAAGCCAATTGTTAAACATAGCTATTACTGAACTATGTGGACTCATAACTAAATAAATGTTAAAATATTTTAAAATCCTCAAAACTTACCACTTCCTAATTATTTTTCTACTATTTTTTACTAGTTTCTGTGTCAGTAAATTACAGCCCAATGGGCCAAGTTTGCTTCCCTACCTGTTTTTCTTTAGCCCATAAAGTAAGAATGAGTTTACTTTTATAATGGTTTAGGAAAAAAATCAGGAAAATAATATTTCTTTACACTTACTTACAGATAAAGTCCCCAACCTAAGATGACCATTCTAACAGAGGGTAGTGCCAGGGATATGTACTTCTGACTGCTACTCTCCACCATAATTCTCTTTGTAATGTTTCCTCTTACCCAGACTGAATTTTAAAACAAGAAGCTACAAACCTAGTATTAAATGGTGCTATAGATATTTGAATTCTGAGTTGGAAAGCAATCATGAGGATATGTGTTCTTAGAGAGTGGTAATTATGAACAGCTTGTTGGGGACAGAATTCCAAACCACTCTCAGAAAAGCATTCATTTTTGAGCCTGCAGTTAACCAAACAATAGTCTAGCATTGTGTCGGTCTTTATGACTTAAAAAATTACAATTCAAAATCCTAAAGAAATAGCAAAGATGTTTGCTTATTAGGTTACTGTCATACTTTTATCTACCAACTACATGTTGTTACCTTTTTTCCTCTTCGGGACTTAGGCTGACAGACTCCTTCGACTGCAACAAGCAGCAGAATTCTACTTGATGCAGGTTGTTGAAATTCATACCTTTGTGGGCATTGTCAGTTTCAACAGCAAAGGAGAGATCAGAGCCCCGCTGCACCGGATTAACAATGACGATGACCGCAAGCTGCTGGTTTCATATCTGCCTGCCACTGTGTCAGCTGAAGCAGAAACCAGCTTCTGCTCAGGGCTTAAAAGGGGATTTGAGGTACAGCACCCCAAGCCTCAGATCAGCATCATTTTCCTTTCCCTCATTTTTAACCTGAGTTGCTTCTGATTTAGGGCAATCTGTTACATTGTGGTCACAAATAGCCTCAACTATAGGAGTAATGATGGATTATCTTTAAGGTCAGGAACCAGATCTTACTCACTATTGTATCCCCTGTATCTAACACAGTACCTGCCAGGTAATCATTGCTTGTTGAAGGTATAAGTAAATAAATGAAAACAATGGCCCAGGCTGGGAGACTTCAATATCACCTGGACCCTTTCTGAGACTGTCCCTGTCAATTCTGAAAGTATTTCAACTGTGGCCAATGTTACCCTTGGGTTTTCCAGTCAAAATCAGCATGTCTGGCTCCTGCCTATAGTCATAGCAGACCTCAAGGACTGCTAGAGACTCAAGGCCAGACGTATATTTCAGGAATGACAGACTTCATCTAAATTAATATCTAGGATGCAGCCATCAATCAAATATCTGTTAGCAAGCAAACACATCAAATGCCATTAATGCTGCCTATAGGCTGGTGTTGCTCAACCTTGGCTGCCCAGTGAAATTGCCTGGGGATTAAAAAATTCTGATGCCCAGGTATCATGCCCTGAGAGCTTATTAATTGATCAGGGGTATGGACTGGCCACAAACAGTTTTAAAGTTCCCCATTGGATTCTAAAGTGTAACCATATTGAGAACCACTGCCCTAGGGCCCGTACTGGTCACTCACTGGATCGCCAAGGCCAGATCTCACACAGTGATGCTCCCTCATATGCTCCGTGAGGGACTCTGTTCTAAACTAGTGGCATATCATGGTGATTGGAACAGAAGGAGTCCCTGTCCACAAGCAAAGGGGATGGCCTGTAGGGTGACGAGTGCCGTTGGGGTGGGATGAAGATGGAATGAAGATGGAAAGGGAGTGCAGGGTGTTACAGAGGCTCAAAGAGGCATGTGCCCCACTGCTGGGGAATCTAAGAGTGAATTTTGCTGCTCAGTAAGACCATCTAAATTACATTTCCGTCGAAGTGACTGATACCTCCGTGTTCAGGTGGCTGAGAAACTGAATGGGAAAGCCGATGGCTCTGTGATGATATTAGCGACCGGTGGAAAGGATGAGCATATCAGCAATTGCTTACTCACTGTGCTCAGCAGTGGTTCAACCATTCACACCATTGCCCTGGGCTCATCTGTGGATGAAAACCTGGAGGAATTATCACGTCTCACAGGTAAATAAATTTTAAAAAACTCATATGTTAGAGCATTTCTTTTTGATTGGAATACTCAAAGCACAACAGTGAAACCAGATTATGTCAACAGAATACACGGCTAAGTTGAAAAAATACAAACCATTTTTCTTAAGAAAAAAAGAACATAAAAAAATTGCTATAATTTACCTAAATATTGCTGAATATTTTTTACATTTTACTTAGAGGGTGAAAATCATCTACATCCAATGAAAGTATTAGTTTTTAGTAATTTCTTTGTTAAACCAGCCTGTGCATATATAATCATGAAGCTAAAAATATGTTTAAGTTTAAATGTACTACCTTCTATGATAAGGACACATACAGTATTGTAAACTACCTATCTTTTTTTGTTCTAAATGAGGCACAAAATAATTTTATCTTATATTCTTTATATTCAGTAAAAATGGGTATGCTGACTGGAAAACTGAAAATTAGGTTTTACTGAATTATTTTTTAAAATAATGTTTTCAGAATGTAACTAAGTATATAGCAATGTAGATCTCAATTAACCTAGATTATCCAGGAATTATACTCATACAAGACTAGTAGATACACATTTATTGAGTTTGTACATGTGTGGAATAGAGTTCTTGGCCCTGACCTCGCAGGTGTGAATGGAGGAGACAAAACCACCCCCCACCCCCAGCATGCTGCCTGCTGTGTGGCGGCAGCAAGGGTGCCCGGCAGAGCACATCAAGCACGGCTCCTATTTCTCCCAAATGGAACCTTCTATGTAAAGAAAGTTTGTTGGAAAAGGCCTAGATTTTATTTTTGTATTCTTTTATCCATCTTAATAATTAACATCCATATCATGTATTTCAGGAGGTTTAAAGTTCTTTGTTCCAGATAAATCAAACTCCAACAGTATGATTGATGCTTTTGGTAGAATCTCTTCTGGAAATGGAGATATTTTGCAACAATGTTTTCAGGTCAGAATTTCCTCATTGTTATACTTACAGTTGGAGTTGGGGTGGCAGAGGAGGAAGCAAGGAAAATAGGTGAATTGTGTTGACTGCCTCATTCACCTTATTTGAAAACGTAATGTGGCCTTCCTGACAGTGCCAGAGCCAGGCTTCATTTGCACCTGAGTCTGTGATTCTCCACCATAGGAGTCACTTTCTGAAATTGCTACTTCAGTTTTTCAAGGTCTGTAAACAAAGCTTGCTCTTTCCTCATGGCTCAGAATTGGGGTGGGTGGGGGTGCAGTGGGGGTGAAGCCCCCAAGAAAAATAAGAAACTGTGTATTTAATTTTAGTTCCATAGTAACTTTCCGTAAATCGGAATCCATTTTACTTTAGTTTATCCAAAAGCTTCTTTGAAGCACCTCTTGCATATAAAAAGTATCAACTATTCCATTAAATTCTAAAAATTCCTAAGTATCTCTTTAAAAACCACAATTAACTTGATTTCGTTCACAAAAGCTTCTTCTAATCAAGCCATTTTTAAAAAGGCCAAAATTTTTCTTCTAAGTAGTTTAGAGATATTTTGCACATAACTGAACAAAATTTCATGTGCTACTTCCTCACAGATGGTAAGTGAACCTGCCAAGTTAATGGCTTCAGGTGAGCAATGAAGTCAGTAAATTAGTCTTAGGGAATTTTCAACATGAAGATTGTATGTACACAGTAAAGCTAATAACCATAATTCCATGATTAGAGGTGAGAAAAGGTGAATTATGAATGACAATATACATTACAGATTAGACTATCACCAGCTTGCTGAGTGATCTTTCTACCTTGTGATTTCCTCTTTAATTATACAAAATGAAAACAAATGTCTTAAAAAGTAACACACTATTATTCGTAGTATTCAAGTTAACCTTATGTTCCCACACTTGGCCTCCTCTCCTCCCTCGTCTTTATGCCGCCAGCCCACTGCACTGTGGGCGGAGACTACGTCTGACCCTACCAGAGTCAGGCCCGGTGCACAGTGCCGCATAGCGGGCGCAGCGCACACACCCTTGTTGGACTGACTTTAGAAAATAGTCCACAGTGTCTTTGCTATCATCCACCAATAAAGTTTTAAGTGCTTTCCAAGTCTCAGCAATTTTACAAAGTCTTACTTATGTATTTATTTAATAAATATAATTTTTCAAAATTATTTACAGACTTGTGTCCGTTGTGACTACACAAGGATTAAATGCTGTTGAAGTGACACTTGTATTAACTGTAACAAAATACTTTATATCTGCTGTACTTCTATAATACACTGTATTTGCTTTGGCAATGTATTTCTATATGAAAAATGATTTAAGTATAATACATCAGAATTAAATGGTTTTTATTTTTTATAATTAATTTTTATTTGTCACCAAAGTGAAGAAAAACATGGAATGATTACGCATTCACTAGACACTTGCATGTAAATATATATATTCTCCCAAACAGCTTGAAAGTGTGGGTGAGAATGTCGAACCTCACCAGCACCTGGAAAATGCCGTGACTGTGGACAACGGTGTGGGCAGTGACACTACCTTTCTGGTCACATGGCAGACCAGGGGTCCCCCTGAGATTGTGCTGTTTGATCCCAATGGAAGAAAATACCACACACATAACTTCATCATCAATGAAGCCTTGAGGACTGCTCGCCTCTGCATTCCAGGAACTGCTAAGGTCAGTGTCATGAGCTTGTTCGTAACGACAATGTTTAGTCACGTGGGTGGCTTTCAGCTGAATTGCGTAATTAAATGCATTGTGTGAAGGAAATCCTATTCTGACACATCAAAGTTTGACTTTAAGTTTATGATGGCATTTTATGGATGTTAAAAATTTAAGGGAAACAACTAATATAGGTTCAACACTTTTACAGTGGAAGTTACTATTTATGTAGTAAAAATAATTTACTTTTGCTCACTTCCTTCTTTACAAAATCTATATGACATACTTACATATACACTTAGAAAAATCCTCTGCTTAGAATTTATAATATGAATACATGTAATACCTATGTTTTTGAGCACCTACTATGTGCTGAGTCTTGTTTTAACTGCTTTATAATAAAATGCCATAAGAATAAGAACTAGGTACCCAGAGCATACAGAAGGGGCATGCTAGGAACTGGAAGGTGGGAAGAAGAATGATCCCTGAAAGGGAAAATATAAAAATGGAAATTTGAAGGATAAAGGGGGTAAAGATGTGAATGACATACAGAGCAGAGTGAACAACACATAGACTCAGAGGAAGAGAATATGGCTCTTCATAGACTACAGGTAATTCAGAATGAATGAACTACTGAGTAGCAAGTTAGGTGGAGATTTAGAAGAAAAGTGGAGGGCATAATCAGGCTGGATGAATAAACAGGAGCCACGTCAGCAAGGGCTTCATAAGGAAGTAAAAGGGGTAGGAGTTTGAACCCTAAAGGTAAAGGGAAACCACTAGAGGTTCTAAGCCGGGGGTGGATTGAGCAGATCCACACTTGCACTGGCTGAATACAGCCCCTCCTCAGCACTGGTGGCCCTACCTCCCCCCAGACCTTGTTGACAGCCTCTGCTCAGCCTCCCTGCCTCTGGGCTAGCATTCTTCCCACCCACTTGTCATCTCTATCAGGTGCTCCTTCTGAAGTACAAATCAGATACTTTTTGGTGGTCTCAGGATAAAATCCATGTGCTTACTCTTATTCTGGCTTCTGCCCAAGCTCATTCATCTCTTAACCCCCCACCCAAACAACCTATGCTCTGCTTCTACTTAACTTTTCTCCAAACTCATCATATTCTTTACACACCTATTCACAAGGGCCAGGAGCACTTTACCTACTTCTGGCTGCCTTTGCCTAGCTCCTTAGTCTGGATTAGGTGCCCTACATGGAAGCACTTACTACACCCAAAGAGAAGTTTCTGTTGTAGAGGTTCCTGCCATGTATCTGTTACTAATGTTATGATTACAATAGAGATAGACAGATGATAGATAGATAGATAGATAGATAGAGATGATCTTGATGCTTGAATTGTGACTTCACTAGAAAATGGTAAAGAACATGCACCCCAAAGAAGAAGGCTGGCTAAGGTATGGCAGTCTCTTACTTTCCACTCTGAGCCACACCCTAACCCATTATTTTTCTCTCTTCATCCTCCTGCTCAACTATGTTCCCCCTGTTACTTCCAGGGTTTAAGAAGGAGCAGCAGGAAAGGGGGAAAAGGAGTATTTATGTACAGTTAAAACAAAAGAACAAATTTCTGCTATGTTGTAGCTTAGGTTTTTTTTCTTTTCAGGCATTAATTTGCAGGTTTACCCCCATGCAGTCTAGACAGGCAAAAGAGAATGACATTTAGCAATATTTCTATAAATTACTCAGACATTGTAAAATGCTGACCAATTAAAAAAAGAGTGTTCCTTTTCTTCATCCCTAAAAGTGTATGTGGGTTTTGTTGCTTGAGGTTTCTGAGTATGTGGAGGATTTGGGGGAAGTGGAGGAAAGGTAGCATGTTGTTGCCTTTAGTAAAGTGTACTCCCACAGATCATCATCACGAGAATGTGCTGTACTCTTGTTATATGAAAGGAATATAAACATTGAATCTTCTTTTGGGTTAAGGGCCTCAGATTAATATTGGCACCATACTTTGAAGCTTTGAAACACTGTTATAGCCCTGGCTGGCGTAGCTCAGTGGACTGAGCGTGGGCTGGGAACCAAAGCATTGCAGGTTCGATTCCCAGTCAGAGCACATGCCTGGGTTGCAGGCCATGGCCCTCAGCAACTGCACACTGATGTTTCTCTCTCTCTCTCTTTCTCCCTCCCTTCCCTCTCTAAAAATAAATAAATAAAATAAAATAAAAGAAACACTGTTACAATCATCTTCTAAAATATGACTCAAGATGTGCCCTTCCCCACAGATAAGTTCAGGGTATGATTCCCTAAAGAGGTACCTCACAATGTAAGTGGGTTATGCTGTGAGAGCCACATAAATACTGAATTTGGGTATCCCTTAAGCAATATTACTATTCCTGATATTCTTTTGCAGTTATTTTAGAAAATACAAAACAAATAAAACTAGAATAAAAAACCCTAAGAGCTTATATTTATGCTTTAAAGTTCAGGGTTTATCTTCATACTTGACCAAACAGAAGACCTTTGTTTTGCAGCCTGGGCTCTGGACTTATACACTGAACAATACCCACCATTCTCTTCAAGTCTTGAAAGTGACAGTGACCTCTCGTGCCTCCTGCCCAGCCCAGCCTCCTGCTACTATGGAGGCCTTTGTAGAAACAGACAGCACGTCTTTTCCCCATCCCATGATGGTTTATGCAAATGTGAGAAAGGGGCTTTATCCCATTCTCAACGCTACAGTAACTGCTACTGTTGAGCCAGAGGATGAAGATCCTGTTACGCTGAAACTTTTTGATGATGGAGCAGGTAGCAAGTGATGTCACAATCTGTTATGGTGCTGCAGTATCAATATTCAGGTTATCTTTAATATTCTTTCAATTCCATTTTTTTTTCATCCAATCTTATGATATTCTCAAATTCGCATAGAAACACTGACATACAAACTAGCTACAGGTCACATTCACATGAGGAAAGCAACTGAATTTGGAAAAAGAGAGTATCTACGAGGCTCCTCAGAGTGGCTGTATGTGACAGCAAAGTGGCAGGAAAAAGTTGCTAGGTTTCGGCTTGCACTTGCTCAGCGACACTTAGTGAGGACCAACAGGAACAACTTCTAGGTTCCTGTGACATGCCCACATTCCACTAAGACTCACTAGATGTACTATTCACTGATATGATCCAACTGGACAATTAAAATAGCAAATGAAAACCCAAGAAGAGGTATGCAATGATTGTGCATCCATTCTCCCCCTTGAACCCGACTGAGAAGAGAAAATTGGAAATTGAACTTGTGACCCCCAGATGACCCAAGGCTTTCTTGAGCCAAGCAGCTGGGTGGATAAGAGGGCACAGCTAGTGCCCTTTACAGGTGTGAGTTTGGTCCCAAGAAGACCAAATAGCAAACCTAGTGGAATTGGGACAAAGATGTTCCCACCATTGGGCAAACAAAGTAAAACAAAACAATACCCCACTTTAACACACTCATTCTGCATGTGGAGAGAGCGTTCAGCGCTTCCTGTCATACAGCGCAGTCAGCACCGCACAAAGCCAGCAAACAGCAGCGTCGAGGCTCTTTCTAACGTTTTTGACTTCTGAAAACAAACTCCTTTGCTGTTTTATCTTTCCTGTTTTGTTTTTTCCTAAACTAAATTCTCAGAATGACAGCAGACCTCAAAATCGGTTAGCAGCCCCAAGTGTCTGATCTACCAGCTATATCATATTCCTTCCCTCTGTTGTTTCAAAAATAAAAAATTTTGGAGTCTTAGGTTTGGTAACCCATTAGTAACTTGCTATGGCAATTTTGTATGACATTTACAAAACAGAAGGGTTTTAGTTCAAGGCTACCTCAAAACAAGACAAGTCCTCTTGTTTTGTCTCTTGGGACGTATCCAAATGAACTTCCATACTCCTGATTGCTTATCTACAGCCACAGCTTTTCATTCCATGCATGCAGTCCAAAAACACACTTTGCAGAATGTCCCCTCTTCGCCCCAGCCTGTAGGCTGGCTTATAGGAGAACAGACAAAATTATCTTAGGAAAGATCACTTGAATAGACTCAATAAGCTTTAATATTTATTACCTAGAATGATTTTATTTTGACATCTAAATTTATACTCTAATGAAAGCAACAATGAAAAAGATTGTTTAGGCATTAAAGTATAAATTTAGATTTCCCCCCAATATTTAGCATGCTTGTATTGTCTAATTTTTATACTAAAAGTGGCATTTATCTGCTAAATAAAGTTAATGAATAAACCATGGCAGAGGGAAATTTTCCATTATTGTTTCTCAACAAAGGTCGACCTTATTCATCATGAAATCACTAAACACCAAGGTCTGATTTCTTTCTAGTACATAAAAGCAATCTCTAAACCTACTATGATCATGGATGCTTAGCACTTTTTATTTTTATTAAATATACTCCTACTTTTGTATGTTAAGGAGCAGCCCTGACTCTGCTATAGGGATTAGGACACTTGCTTTAGTGAGGATACAACACTCGAGTCAGGGCTGGGAATGTGGCAGGAGAACGGGACAAGCCGCTTGCCCTCGGCTGGCTGCACTTGAACAGTGGAGCGGATCTACACTTAGGCTAAGCTATGCTTCCCTGCTGCCCCAGTGTCTAGGTCTTCCTGCCATTCAGGACCAAGGCACCATGGGTGGAACCACAGACTGGCAAACTCCAAGTCAGCAAGCCCCTTCCAATCTAGAACAACAGTTCCATGTATACTTTAATAAATAAACTGAATGATTTCACACTTTTCAAAATCAACTACAAAGATTTTTTTTTCATGAGGAGTGTTTTTTTCTTATCAGGGCTTCAGGGTATTCATAAACCCCTTCAAATTATGTGAAAACAAAGACATGTGCATGTATATTTATTTCCCGGGAACAGATCACTTCTATATCAAAAGGGACTTAAACAGCTTAAGGATGTGCTTGGTTTCTGTGGGAAACTAGAATTAATTTCAATTATAGGAAGGAGAGCTCTAAAGGTTATTATTAAATGCTTTCTTAGCACCAAAGCAGGTACAACTCATTCACTTTTAGAAAATAATTTTTTCATAAGTTAAGGAACCACAGGGAGAAATTTTGGAGCCATTAGATTTTTAATCACCTGATACTATCAAAAACAGTTATGACCATCACATCATATGCTAAATTGAGAAAAACAAGAGGAATGAATCTTATTTTTTAATGATTTAATTAAATATTAATAATCAACTCTGATGACATGTTGACATTGAGTTTTGTTTTGTTTTATATACCCATACAGGTGCTGATGCTATAAAAAATGATGGAATTTACTCGAGGTATTTTTTCTCCTTTGCTGTAAATGGTAGATATAGCTTGAAAGTACATGTCAATCACTCTCCCAGCGTAAGCGCCCTGGGCCACTCTATTCCAGGGAGTCATGCTATGTACATACCAGGTTATATAGCAAATGGTAAGAATAATTAGCTAACATCATTTAATGTGTATGTAATACAGCTGATTGTGTGTGTGTATTCGAGAGAGAGGGGAAGAGAGGGGAAGGTTGTGTGTGTGTGTGTGTGTGTGTGTGTTCAAGAGAGGGGGTAATTCTGTCCCTCTCTTTTCAGGTGAAAGAGGGGGATGGAATTTCAAAACTCTTTTTTACTTAATTAAGTCAAGGCATAAGTTGTTGACTATCTCTTTATTCTTGAAAGGTACATGGTAGTAGATTACAATAAGGCAACAGGAAATCCCCACAGATTTCTCCTACCTTCATTTCAGTCATTATTTTTACCTCTTTCATGTGACTGTTACACCAGAATTACTAACAGACAAAAAGATTTATTGAATTTTCAGTTTCAGCTCCTGCATTTCCTCTACAGAGGTTTAAGCGAGAGAAAGAGACACAAAATTGTTAGCAGTTGAAAGAGGGGAGCAAGTAACCCAAACAATCCACACAAGAAATGAATTTCTGAAAAAATATGAGTTTGGATATTGCAGTCAACTGAGTGCTTCCTGGAGATGTTATATCTTCCTTCAAGATAAAAGTGCCAAATAAATAGAAGATACACATCTTTTTAACACCATTATTGTAGTTCCTGATAGGAAATAGTGGTTAAAATATAACAAACAGAAATATGCTACAGTTTTTTATAAAATAATCTCAAAAACAGTTCTAAGCATTCTCATTCACAAAACTACAGAATGTTTATGAGTACTTTTCATGTATTTTAGCAGCTATAACTATTTTTATCTAAATATAATACTTCATTTCTAAGTAGATATTCCCTCTTTCATTTATAAATCAAATATTTTTGAAGGCCTATTAGGTGACAGGCTTAGTCCTAGGAACTTGGGATACCAGGTAGGTAGAATAAGACTTGATTCCACTCAAGGAGCCTGCAGGTTACTGAGTGGTCTGAGTGTCCTTTTTAAGTCCATGAGTTTAAAGGATGAAAATACCAGCACCTTGTGTACAGTGAGATTAGAAAAGTAATATTCGAATCTCTGTGCTTTTCTCTGTGTATTTCATGTGGGCCCTTAATAGCTTAATGAGAAAAAGCTGGGTTTCCCAGGCATGCCTGCTGTACATGACATTCACCCTATCAGCTAACTTTCAGGTGATAACCTTGAGCACAAACTTCACTGAAAAATGGAAGCTGCTCTGTTTTCACCACCAAATCTCCAGAAACTGTTGCATTTCCTCCTTACCTCTCCTCCCCAAAGGCTGATGTCCCTGTTGAATCTGCTCTGGATCCCATCCAGCCTGTCCATCCAGGGGCCTTCAGAGTCTGCCTGTGTGTTCCTGCTCAGCTGCTGCCTCTGAGCAGCACTCAAGCATGATTTATCACTTTCCATGTTGAAACACTTATTCTTGGTCCCTCCTCAGCTGCTGTCCATGTTTCTAGTCCCTGTTGTCTGGTTCCTTGAAATTAATCTAAACCTACTGACTGTACTTTCTCGCCTCCAATTTTCTACTTTGCTCACTGCAATCTGATTTCCATCCAAATCACTCTTCCATCCAAATCTCCCCACTGGAATTGCTCTGGCCCAGTCACCAATGATCTCCCTACTGTTAAATTCAAAGGATACATTTCAGTCCTCATTTTACCTGATTTGAGCAGTATCTGGCACAACTGATTGATTTCTCCTTTGTCATTTCCTGGTTTCTATGACACAACACTCTCCTGATTACCTCTTATTCTCTGGAAGTGTTTGTTGGGCTCTTTTCCAGCGTCTCCTTCCCTATTGTTGCCAATTCTCAGAGCTCAGTCCTAACCTTCTCACTCTACCATTTGGAGCCACACTGCCTGGATTGGAAACCTAGCCCCCACCCCCACCCTCACCCCTGTTTACTTACTGTGTGACTTTGGGAAAGTTACTTGGCTTCTGTGTACTCGAGTTTCACCATCTGTAAAACTGAGGGTAATAAATTACACCATGTTCATAGCATTGCTGGGAAAATTAAATATTTGATATACATCAGATACTTAGAAAAGTGCTTGGCACATAGTAAGCCAGGCACTCAAAAATGCAATTTATCAATATAGTTGAAATTCTTATTAGATAACCTCATTAATCCATATAGCTATTACAATGTTTATATGACTGTAGCTTACAAATCCATAACTTCAAAATTTTTAAATTCATCTAAAGCCTCAATAGAAGGTTAAAATCCATATCTAACAGGCTCCTTGACATTTCAATTACATATTTTACAGGAATCACAAACCTTGTAAAACTTACATTTTTAGTCTCCTTCACTTTAGCCTGCTTCTCTCCCAAGTTGCTGATTTTAAAAAGCTTTTTCACTGTTGTTGTTGTTCGCCAATATTCTCTTTTGCTGTATTCAAATCCACCATCAGCTTTTGCTGATTTCATCTCCAAAATACATCTCAAGCTGCCTACGTCTTACCTCCTCTCCACTGTTCTCACCCAACCCAAGATGCCATTTCTTTTTATTTTAGAAAGAGGGAGGAGGGAAAGAGGAAGAGACAGAAGAGGAGAGAGAATTTTTATTCCACTTATTTATGCATACATTGGTTGCTACTTGTATATACCCAGAATGGGGATCAAAAATCTGCAACCTCGATGTACGGGAGACAGGTTCCAACTGACTGAGCACCCAGCCAGGGCACCGAGCTGCCATCTTTACTTGTCTGGACGTTTGGCAATGGCCGTCTCAGTGGCCTCTTTGTTTCCTGTGTTTGAATTCATTTTCCACCAAGAATGGCCAGAGTGACCAGTAAAAGGGCAAATGTCATCGTGTCACTGCCCTTCCCCACAGATGTAAGATTAAACTTTAAAACCACTAAAGTGGCCCATAAGGTCTTACATAAACTTCTCTCCTGTCTCATCTCAAACTACTGTACTTCTCACTTTAATTAAGTTTATCCAACTCAGAAAGCTCTTCCACACCTCAGAGTTTTATACCTCTTCCCTCTACTTAGGATATTCTTACCTCCACTCTTTACCTGGCTGACACATGCTCATACTTTATGAAACTTTTAAACATAGCTTCCTTGATAACACTCTACATTATGTACCTCTGCTATTTTCCTTAACAGCACCCTGCCTTTTTTCCTCCTAACATTATCACAATTTGTAAATATATGTTTATTGATATGACTATCAGTTCCATGCGATACTGTTTTGTCCATGATTACTGGCACAGGATATGCCTGCAAAATACTGAATGAATGAATGAATTGTGGAATAAACAAACTCAGTTATTCTAAAAATGTAGTAAACAAAAAAGTTTTAAAATATCTCTCAATAATTTGTCAAGAATAAGGTCTTCAGGAGGTTGTAATTTGTTGTTGAGTCTATTCTTTTCTTGGCTGTCCCAGGTAACATCCAGATGAATGCCCCAAGAAGATCCATGGGCAGGAGTGAGGAGCTGCGAAAGTGGGGCTTTAGCCGAATAAGCTCAGGGGGCTCCTTTTCCGTGCTGGGAGTTCCAGCTGGCCCCCATCCCGATGTGTTTCCGCCATGCAAAATCATTGACCTGGAGGCTGTAGCAGTAGAAGAGGAGGTGACTTTATCTTGGACGGCACCCGGAGAAGACTTTGATCATGGCCAGGGTAGGTTTCTTGGTTTTATTACCTATTTTTCTACAAGGAGGCATTTCTAATAACTGTATCAGGTGTTAATTTAATACAAAAAACTTTGGGAGTTTATAACTGAACAAGCGTCAGAAGGTCATCATGAAAAGCTTTGCATTGTTGGTAAGACTTTACAGCATTGGGTCTAGGAATGAGAGTGTGCCAGCTCCCCCAGGACTGAAGAGGCCCTTGTAAACTGACCAGCACTAATCAAACAGAAACATTGACTGGAAACTTGAATACCACGTGGAATGGTGGTCTTATCAGCAGAAATAGATTCTGTATTGCAGAGCATAGACTTGCAAATACTGGAGGTAATTCATTTTCTGAAAATTGGATACTGACTATTTGTTCAGATTAAGAAGACAGGTTTAAGGCAATAATTTCCATAAGTCATCATGTAAACCTTCGCACATTTTCCTCTCCCACTCCTGGCCATCATTTTTGTTAGGGAGGCTGGGACCAGTTCCCTGGCACCGGCTTCCTTCCCCTTGCTTGTGTAATCACTGATGAAGTTCTCTTTTAACTTTCCAGCATTCGGGCTTCCACCTACCTCATCCTTTCATGTCCATAGAAATTCAACAAAATAACTTTTCTCAAAGAATAATCTTTCCAACTACTTTGCCATCACCAAAAAAAAAAATGTTATCATTGATTACACATTAAAGAGTTTATTTCCTCTTTAAAAAGTACATTTTATTGATTATGCTATTACAATTGTCCCATTTTTTCCTCCTCTTTATTCCCCACCCTGCATGACCCTCGCACCAGCATTTCCCCACCCTTAGGTCATGTCCATGGGTTGTACATATAAGTTCTTTGGCTTCTCCAGTTCCCATATAATTCTTAATCTCCTCCTGCCTATTTTGTACCTACCATTTCTGCTTCTTATTCCCTGTACCTTTTCTCCCATTCTCCCCTTTTAACCTCCCCACTGATAACCCTCCATGTGATCTACACTTCTGTGATTCATTTTCTGTTCTAGCAGTTTGCTTAGTTTTGGGGATTTTTTTAGGTTCAGTTGTTGACAGCTGTGAGTTTGTTGTAATTTTACTGTTCTTAGTTTTTATCTTCTTCTTCTTCTTAGATAAGTCCCTTTAACATTTCATATAATAAGGGCTTGGTGATGATGAACTCCTTTAACTTGACCTTATCTGGGAAGCACTTTATCTGCCCTTCCATTCTAAATGATAGTTTTGCTGGATAGAGCAATCTTGGATGTAGCCTTTCACTACGTGGAATACTTCTTTTCACCCTCTTCTTGTGTGTAAGTCTTCTTTAGAGAAATCAGCTGATAGCCTTATGGGAACTCCTTTGTAGGTAATTCTCACCTTTTCTCTTGCTTCATTTAAGATTATCTCCTTACCTTAAATTTTGGGTAACTTAATTATGAAGTGCCCTGGTGTGTTCCTCCTTGGATCCAACTTCTTTGGGACTCTCTGAGCCTCCTGGACTTCTTGGAACTCTATTTCCTTTGCCAGATTGGGGAAGTTCTCCTTCATTATGTTGTCAAATAAGTTTTCAATTTCTTGCTCTTCCTGTTCTCCTTCTGGTACCCCTATGATTCAGATGTTGGAATGTTTCAACATCTGAATGTTTTCTGGAGGTTCCTAAGCCTCTCCTCATTTTTTTGAATTCTTGTTTCTTCATTCTGCTCCAGTTGAATGTTTATTTCTTCCTTCTGCTCCAGATCATTGGTTTGAGTCCCAGTTTCCTTCCCTTCACTGTTGGTTCCTTGTATATGTTCCTTTATTTCACTTTTCATGGCCTTCACTTTTTCTTCTATTTTGTGACCATATTCAACCATTTCTGTGAGCATCCTGATTACCAGTGTTTTGAACTTTGCATCTGATAGGTTGAATATCTCTTTGTCACTTAGTTGTTTATATGGAGTTTTGAACTATTCTTTCATTTGGGCCATATTTCCTTGTCTCAGCAGACCTGTTATGTTGTAAGGTGTGGAGCCTTAGGTATTCATCAGGATGGAACAACTCACTTCTCTGCATTGTGGCACTGTATGTGGGAGAGAGGTCAGAGAAGGAACAATGCCACTGGCTTGGATCTTGGCTAGCTCTCAGTCACTTCTCACACTACCTACAAGCAAATTGGGCCTTCCTGGTGCTGGTTCCCAGGTTGGAGGGCTTTTGTATGTTCTAGAACCCTGTGGGCCTCTCCAACGAACTCTGCTGTGAGGCTGGGAGTTTCTCCCACCACCGCATACCCCCACAGGTTTTAGGTTTTGAGGCTTTATTTCCCTGCACTGTAATCCTGGGTTGAGAGGTCTGTCTCACTCCCCAGTTGTTCCTCCCAGTTTTTCTGCACACAAATGTGAGACCACCAGCTGCCACCTTGCCACACATACTCTGCCCTAGCTGCCCATCTCCACCCCTCTTATCAGTCTAGATGAATGTTTCTTCTTTAACTCCTTGGTTGTCAGATTTCCATACAGTTTGATTTTCTGGCAGTTCTGGTTATTTTTTGTTTTTAAATTTGTTGGTTGTCCTTCTTTTGATATTGTGAGGAGGCAAAGTGTATCTACCTATGCCTCCATCTTAGCCAGAAGTCTCTACAGTTCTTTTTATAGCTTCTTATACACAATGATAATTATGACAGGAGTTGTTCAAAGAAATAAAACACAGAAGAGGAGGAAGGAACTCTACCATGTGCTAAGAATTGGGTACATAAAACTAAGCTCTGTTTTCTAAACTTGAAGTCTGGTAGGGGTGCAAATATCCACAGATGACTAACTGGATGAAAAGCATACGAGGTGACTAGGGGTGGGAGAAGAGCAGTATGGAGGAGGAGCATTATATACAGCGATATGCTGGTAAGTGCTCAACAAATGATCCCCATCCTCCCCCGAAAGCCCTGATTTATAGTGTTTGCCAATTTCTGTGGTGTAAATATCCCCAACATGGCTGATGTCAAGCTGTCAGTGTAATATCACTGAATGGAGAGTGGGGAAATGTGCACAGCTGGCTTTTGAGAATCAGTTCAAGCCTGCTCTAGCTCACTGCTGAATTCATGCACAAAGGCAGCAAGTCATGAAACAGAATGGTGTTTGGGGCACTACAGGCTGCTGGAGCTCAAAGACCCAGAGGTGAGGAAGGTGGAATGGGAATAGGGCTAAGATTGGACAGGAGGGAGAAAAGACCATGGGAGAGGGCTTTGGCTGAAAGGCTAGAGCTGCACTAGTTTGGCACCGACACATTGCCACTGAGTGCTTAAAAATGTGGCTGGTCCAAACTGAGATGTGCTAGAAGTATAAACTATACACTAGCTTTTGAAGACTTAGCAAAAAAAAAAAGAATATAAAAGATCTCATTAATATTTTTATGTTGACTACATGTTAAAATGATAATATTTTGGATACATTGGGCTAGTCACATATTTACAATTAATTGTGTGTTTCTTTTTAGTTTCTAAAATGTGACTATAAGAAAATTCCGAACTACATGTGTGGCTGGCATTATATTTATGTGAGGTATCTTCAGGCCAGAGAATATGGACATTGTTTAGCAGGCTACGGAGAGTCTCAGAAGAGTTTTAAACAGATGTGGTCTGCTGCCCAGAAGCTCCATCCAGTGCTGTGTGGAGTTTGCTGAGGTCAGGCGGGAGGGAGAAACTTGATGGGGTCCAGCCAGAGCAATGTGGGACTCAGTGAAGGCAGGGGAAGTGGGGATGAGGAAGAGAACAGCCTGTTGGGACAAGGTAGCCAATTGGATGTGGGAGGCAAACAGAGGGTGGAGTCAAGGATGATGGTCAGGTTTCTGGCTTGGGCAGCTGTCTACATGAGAGTGGTAATAATAAATAAAAATGCAAGAGGGATAAAGGTTTCTTGGGAGAAGGGAATGAGTTCAGTTTGGGATGTGATGAGTCTGAGGTGAAAGGGAACTTGCCAAGTCCAACAGGCCACTGGGTACGGGGGTCTGGAATCCTGTTGGCACCATCTTAAAAATATATCCTGTTCAATCTCCTACCTCCTATACTGCCACCACCCTAACCCAAGCCACTATAATATCTTAGCTGGATTATTGCCATAGCCTCCTAGCTGGTCACCTTGCTGATGCATTTTCCTGCTTTTTCTCAAGTCTCTATCAATAGCCAGAATAATCATGTTAAAAGCCACATCAGAACATGGCACGGCTCCCTTCTTAAACTTCCAGTGAATTCCATGGCACTCAGAGTTCATGCCTCTCTGTACACTGACCTAAGGTTTTATGTGACCTGGTCCTGTGGCTCTCTTAGCTCCCACTACTCTCCCCCTCAGAGACTGCTCTAACCACACTGGCCCACTCGCTGGTCCTAGAACTCCCCAGGAAGCCACCTGCCTTGGGGAGCCTTTGCACCTGGTACCCTTCCCTGTTATTCCTGAGGAACTGTCTCTCTCATCTTCATCAGGCCTTTACTCTGCTTTCCCCTCCTCTGTGAAGACTTCTGCTCACCCCATATAAAATGACACCCTCACTCCTGTTCTTACCTTTTTCATCAGCTCTTGTCACTATTAATCATGCTGTAAATGGTACTTATGGTATTTATCATGCTTAATGTCTGCCTTCCTCATTAGATTGTAAGGTCTGTAAGGCAAAAAATAGTGTCTGTTTTCTTCTCTGCTGCATCCCCTGCACCTGGAATAGCTCCTGGCACATAGTAGACACTGGACTAGTATCTGTTGAATGAAAGAATAAACTAGTCTATCAATGGAGTGAGCACCTGAATCCTAGAAACTGACCTGCTTTTGGAATCCCAGCTCTGCCACTCGTCATTGTGACCTGGGGCTGGCTATTTATCATCTCTGAGTCCTAATTTTCTCATCTACGGAATGGAGAAATTAATAATACCACCTACAAAAATTGTTGTGAGAATGCATTTAGTCAAGAAATATTTATGGAACCCCTTCCAGGCACTGTGTTTAATGGGAATTAAATAAGCAAATGTACAGAAGACCTTGACATTGTGTGTGCCATATTTTAGGTTCT